TCAGTGGTGACAGGACAGTATATGCTAAGAGCCCCCATACTCCAGATGGGGGAACCCCAAACCTTTTCCCCAGGATTCAGACTTTGGGGGTGGAAACCAAGAACCAAGCTATGCCTTCATGATGCTCCTAGCTTAGTAGGCAAGATAAAGCCAGACAGAGCTACTGTAAGGCCCATGTAGTCAGGGCCAAGGACATAGGGTTCCTCTTCCTGGAAGGACTGGGAAGGTGTCCTGAAGAATGGGACACCAGGGCTGGGCCTTTGTAGGAAGTCATTAACAAAGCCTGACCCTTAGCTGCCCAATCTTACTCATCTTTGTCTATACCCACTGTGTCTTGCACAGAGTCAACCTCAATTAAAGGTAGGTAAATTCATGCCCTCCCCATACAGATTCTCTATTTTATTTCCTAATCTCCAGGACATATGAGTGGGAAGCCCTGACAAAAAAGTTTACATGAGTCCTCTGATCAAGATGACTATGCCTGTGGCCCAGTCTCCAACTTGTGACCCCTCCTAGCTGGCCTGTCCTTCCTTTTCCTCCCTGGAGCTGGGACTTGGCTTCTCTTTTGGAATATGGAACCCTCCCTCCTTCTGCTGGTCTTTATATAAAAAAATAGAGTATTTTCACAGCACTAGCTTCTAGTGGCTTCCAGGAAGGACATGGGGCAAAAGCCAAGTCCTGCCTTCGCTTCCTCAAACCCAGATCCCAATCTGGCACTATGCCCATTCAATAAGCATTTAATTTTTACCTCAGAAAGTAATATAGAGCCAAGAATCCTTTGGTGCCCAAGGAGGCTCCATAGACAGAGATCCAGGGGCGGTGGGGGCTAAGACACAGTGGCAGGGATAGTGGCCTGTCACAGGTACACAGATGGCTTCTGGCCTGTGAGTGGGCAGTTGCTGGTAGCCAGCATCATTTTCATGTGTACCTAGGGGGCAGGAGAGGAGGAGGGCAGCTTAAGGTGAGCCAGCAGGAGGGTCCCCCTGCAATCCCTCACCACCTGTGCACCTCAGTGTGGGCCTTGGTGAGGAGCTGAAGGGTGTGAGCATACAGTGTGGCCACCACACTTTGTCAATTAATCTGGGTAATCAGGTGCCACAGGCAGATGCCCCTATGCTCGGCAATACTGCCTTGGAGGAGACTACAGATCTGGAGGGGACAGGAAGGGGCTGTGCTGCACAGGGGGCCCCACTCGGGGCTGTCAGCCACACAACTCTGCTGGGACCTCACAATACTATCCTCCACTCAGTCCAGCTTCTCGTGGGTGTAGAGCTAGTGGATGATGGCCGTGGTCATTAGTGGGCAGTGGACAATGCTGGGACTCATCAACATCTGTGACTTATCTCCTGTGAGGGACAGGGGTCACTGGCCTAGCTGGGCCTCCAAAGGGCTGCTGGACCTCTTGGCAAGCTGTGGCCTTCTCTAGCCTCAGTTTACTCATTTGTAAAATGGAGATTTGGAGTCAAGGCTCTCAATTCTAGAAGTCCCCTTTGAAAGGGTATCTCACCGTGACCCTCCTTACCCAGAATGACTCAGGAGACACGGGCCTACGCAAGAGACTTTATTATCTGAAGGAGAGAGTGGCTGCCCCAGAGGGGGGTAGGGAGAGAGAGAGAGAGAGAGGGAGCAGCAGGACAGAGAGAGCAGAGAGCAGGGAGAGAGAGAGCAGGGGGACAAAGAGACAGAGACAAAGAGAGAGGGCAGCAGAGAGACAGAGAGAAAGAGGGCAGCAGCATGGTGCCTTTTATTGTGGAGGATTCGCTGGGCCTGTTGCTTTGGGGGAGGGTCGGGATATTTAGAGATAAGGCAGGGTAAGCCCAGTCAAGCCCCAGGCAAGCTCAGGCATAATTCTCACTGGCTTATGTGCTTGAGACCATGGGGCAAATGGAGGATAAATTACTATATTCTTACACCCTTAAGAAGTGCCTAAGAATATAGACAAGCTAGGCGACCTCAAGGTGTGACTTCTCACCTCCCTGACCTCCCTGAGCCCCGACCTTCCTCAGGGTCAAAAGCAAGAGACAGATTGGAATTTGCATTGTGCATACAGGCCCCAGAGCTCAGGACAGGTAGAAAAGATTAATAGAACTCTAAAAGAGACCTTGACTAAATTATCCATAGAGACTGGTTTGTGTGATTAGTTAGTCCTCCTTCCCTTTGCTTTATTTTGAGTCCGAAACACTCCCGGCCGCTTTGGGCTAACACCCTTTGAGATAATGTTTAGAGCCCCGGCTCCGCTTGAGTCGGCTCACCTCCACGCATCCCCCGAATGTGTAACTAATAAGTTTCTGCTTGAAAGGTTACAGGCCCTAGAAGTTGTACGGAGAGAAGTGTGGGCCACCATCCGGGAAGCCTATCGGCCAGAAGACCTATCAGTGCCCCATCAGTTCCAGGTGGGAGACCCCGTTTACATAAGATGACACCGAACAGGAAACCTTGAGCCTCGATGGAAAGGACCCTTCATCGTCCTCTTGACCACCCCCCAGAGCCGTGAAAGTAGATGGCATCTCCTCCTGGGTACACGCTTCACATCTGAAGAAAGCGCCCCAGTCGGACTCAGATTGGCGAGTAACTCGGACTGATAACCCCCTTAAGCTTTGCTTGTGTAAGAAGAACTATGTTATTAGTGATTCTAATGCTCCTGCTACTTCCAACCCACCAGAACCCTAACCCCCATGAACCCAGGTTACTGACATGGCAAATCATTACCCCAGCCTCCCGCCAAGTAGTAGTTCAGTTAACAGGACAACACCCTAGGGGAACCTGGTGGCCAACCCTCACTGTAGATATATGCACTCTCTTCAAACAAGACCCTTGGTACGAAGATAAAATTGGGATACCCGGATGTGGCACTCGGGATTATACAGTGCATTGGGGCTCTGGGACTATGAAAGAGATCCAAAGCACCTGCTTTTATGTATGCCCGGCCCCCTCAACCAATGCCTAGGTCTCACAGTGTGGTGGGCAGACAGATTCTTTCTGTAAAAATTGGAGTTGTAAACAGACAGAGACATGCCATTGACTGACAGGAAGTTCAGGGAGACCTCCTCCAGGCCTCATAAAAATCCAACGGAGTGCCACTCGTGCCCAATGCGTGACTAATCCCACCTGCAATCTTATTGACATCTCCTTCACAGATGCAGGAAAAAGGGCAACAGACTGGGAAAAAGGGCTTATGTGGGGACTAAGACTCTACCAAAGTGGCTATGATAATAGAGTCTTGTTTATGCTCAGGCTTAAAGTAGAGACTCTCCCGGCTATCCCAGTAGGACCCAACACTGTCCTGTGGGATCGGCTGCGTCTCCCAGCCCTGGCCCCAGAGCAGACCCTAGCCCCACCTATAGACTCTGCCACCACTCCCTCTGTCTCCACTCTTGGCCAAGTCACCCCTTTCCCTAGCACTGGACAACGACTTCTCAACCTCCTTGAAGGGGCTTTTCAGGTCTTAAACACCACCAATCCTAACACTACTGGATCCTGTTGGTTGTGTTTCCCTTCTGGGCTGCCTTATTATGAAAGATTAAGATTGTTGGGCAGTTTTAACAGGACGACCCGTCACGAGATCTGTAGCTGGGGGAGCCATAGGAAACTAACCCTGACCGAAGTAACTGGAAGAAGACGATGTTTAGGTACAGTTCCCCCCACCCATAAAGCTTTGTGTAATGAAACCATAGCTGTAACCTCCTCAGGTGAAAATGAGTATCTAGTCCCCCCTCCAGAGGGATGGTGAGCTTGTAACACTGGAGTGACCCCATGTGTCTCTACTTCTGCCTTCAACTCCTCCCGCGATTTCTGTATCATGGTTCAGCTGGTGCCCAGGTTGATGTATCATGATGATCTCTCATTCATAGCTGAATTTGAACCTAGGCATAGATATAAGAGAGAGCCCGTCTCGCTGACCTTAGCTGTGTTGTTAGGGATAAGAGTCGCAGCCAGAGTGGGAACGGGGGCAGCCGCTATTGTCCAAGGGAACCAACATTATGAAGGACTAAGGACAGCTATTGATGAAGACCTAAAAACCATAGAGCAATCCATTACAAAACTTGAAGAATCTCTGACTTCCCTCTCTGAAGTAGTCTTGCAGAATAGACAAGGGCTGGATCTGCTGTTCCTAAAAGAAAGAGGACTGTGTGCAGCTTTAAAAGAAGAATGCTGCTTTTATGCAGACCATTCTGGAATAGTAAGAGATTCAATGTCAAAGCTTAGAGAAAGGCTAGACCAGAGAAAGAGAGAACGAGAAGCTGGCCAAGGGCTATTTGAATCTTGGTTCACTAGATCCCCATGGTTTACAACCCTGATATCCACTCTGGCTGGGCCCTTACTCATCCCTGTGTTGCTCCTCACTTTAAGACCCTGCATACTAAATCGGCTGATAACTTTTGTTAGAGAAAGAGTGAGTGCCGTTCATGTACTAATGTTGAGGCAACAATATCATTCACTCACCCAACAAGGAGACACAAACATTCCATGATTGGAATGCCCCTAAAGAGAAGTGGGGAAATGTAGGATCTGAAGAATCAAAAGTTAGCATAAGCACAGCCATCTTAAAGGCTTAAACACTACCCTCTAACCCAGAAGGAGGAAAATTATTAGAACCTTGAAAAACAAGTTAGTCTTATCTTGCTAAAACCACCCTCAACATTCCGAAAGTGATTTTATCTAACCAGACCCCCAGGATGTGGCGTCAGCCGAAAATTTATGTGTCTATAGAAAAACACTGTATTGTGGCTATGGAAAATGCTGCCCCTTTGAAAATGCTATAAAAACTTCTGGCTTTGTGTGTTCAGGGTCCTTGTTGAGACCCGCTGCGTCGGGCTGATGCTTGGACCCCAGCTAGCTGGTTCCTGAATAAATTCCTCTTGCTTGTTGCATCAAGAGACGCCTTTCGTGAGTGATTTAGGGCGGCGTCCTCCTCTGGGAGAATCCAACAGGTGGCTGAATTAATAGCATTTTTTGGGACATATGTGTAGGCAGAAAAGCAACCTGTAGGGCAAAGGGAATCCTTGATGGTGCAATCTTTTGGACAGTCTGAAAGAGAAGAAAGGGCTGGCATTGGGAAGATAGGTCTGGTGAGAGAGTAAGTGTTGAGACCAGGGCTAACAATCTTGAGGCATGAGGCATGGCGGTTGTAAGGGAGGTCTTAGGACTCCGTGCTGGCAGAAACTTCTTCAGTGATGAGTGGAAGTGAAGATGAGTGCTGCGAAATGCAGAGAGTAAGATGTCCAGTCAGGGTGGAGTAGAAACCTGTGGGAGATTTGGTGGGAGGGGAATAAGCAGACACAAATGGCTTAACGTGGGAGTTGTGTAGCTAGTGGGGAAGAGCCTGGAGTTTAACTGCAGTTGCAATGGAAAGGATTACTGTGTATGGTCTTTGCCATTTGGGAATTAGGGATGGTGTTGCTTGGTGTTTGGAATGGGCATGGTTTTGGAGAAGTTTTTTCCTGTCTATTGTAATGGCTTCATAGTGCAGGGAGAGCTGAACTCCCAGGTATGTGACTTTACTAGCAGACAGCTGAACTTTGGAGGGTGAAACTGGATAGCTGTGTTCAGAGAGAAAGTTTAAAAGGAGAATAGTAGTATCCTGTTGAGAGGTTTGTAGGGAGGAACTGCACAGGAGATCATCTACATATTGAAGGATGGTGGAGCTTGAGAGAGTAAGGGATTTGAGGTCTTGGGCTAGATCCTGTCCAAAAAGGGGGTGACTATCTCTAAAGCCTTGGGGAAGGACTTGTTAAGTGTTCTCTGAATATTAAAAATTAACAACATAAGGAATTTCCTGTCTTGATTTTTCTCTGGGATACCAGCGTCTTGGTCTGGGAGTATATCAAAAGGCTGCCTGCTCAGCTCCCAAGGTGGGCTAAGGTATTGTCTATTTGCTAAAGAATCCTGCCTTTTACTATGCCATCTACAGCTGGGTCTGCATGCTAACTTAGTTGCTCAGTTTGCAAAATTACCTCGTCAGATCTGAAGGAGGAAAGACAGCACATAGGCCTGGGCCTTTTACTATGCTAAAGTGAATCTTATACACAATTACAAATGATTAGCATAAGAAAGCATGTGCTACTCTTCTTTATCTGGGGAATATTAACTAATCTCACTGAAGAATGATTCTAGAGCTTAATGTTCAACATAGTTTTAGTAGGGGAGGTTTCCTAGCATGTAGTTACATTGCTCTGACTGCAAATATCCTGCCTTGCTTTCTCCAGAGGCTCTCACCTTATTCTAAGCCTATGGTCCCTGTCTCATTCTCCCCTCTACAGATAGGGACTCTAGCTGCTGCTAGGGAAAAGGGGAAATGACCGCTCTGGCTGCTTCATGCTGAAAGGGGGCACAGTAAAGGGTGCAGCTAGGTCTCCATCACTGGTCAGTTGAGAGGGCCTCAGAAGGTTGGCACTTCTATTCTGGGTTTCATTTCTATTACTATTTGCAGTTTTGTGGCTTCTAGACAAGATAGAACAAATCGTGTTATTAGGTTAAGTAGTAACATCTGAAGTTGGATTTTCCCTTCTGGAAGGACAAACTTGACAAGATTAAGAATGCATGGCTGAATATGAGATCTAAAAATATGAAGTCTAATTGAGAATCACAGCCAGGTATCATGGGGAAACTAGAATTCTGGATCGAGTTTACATCTCAATGACTAGTATTAGGATTTAGTATAGATAGATAAGACTGCATTATTGAAACAATACTTTTCTCTAAAATCACCTTCATTTTTATTAGAAGTAGTCAGATAAAGAAAATAATTAACAGTTGGCTTGATTATTTGCATAAGTGCAGCAAGAAGAGTAATTGATTACATGATATCTTTTAAATGTGCTTTGCTGGAACTTTTTGTAAGGAATTTCAGATTGAACTTTTAAGGGCTTCTTGAGGCCAGAAAGCCAAGCCAGACTTGCCATCAGGTTGTGCCTGCAGTACCTGTAGATTTGGGTGAATTCCTCTCTTCTTGAGATTCCCAAGACATTCTTGAGGTTCCTGCACTTGCCAGGAAGTGACCTTCTTTACTCACTTGGTAAGGCTACTGGGAACTCTGTAAGCAAGGTACCAGGCCAGTTCTTCTAAGGGGCTTTGTTGATGTTAAAAGTCAGTCTTAGTTCCTTAAAGCTGTCTGTTCATATCTAAGTTTACACACGTGTCTCTCAGGTATGACGTTCCAGTCAAAGCCTTGGTAATAAAACCAGTGTTTTTAATTGGTCCTCTTACAAGGAAAGCAGATTCTTATTGAACTTGTGCAAATAAACATACTGCCATGAAATATAAAAATAGTCACTGAGAGTTTTTAAATTCTGGAGGGATCAGGTAGAGAGAAAGATAAAGTTTCAATTCTGCTTATAAAGGCAGTCATTTACTAAACTGTGGTCAGCTTAAGAGAAAAAGCTTAAAACACTTTATCAACAACATTTGAAACAAAAAGCCACCAAATCATCTTTCTTAGTTTACTTAATCCTATGTAATTAATACCTGTTCTGCTGAAATCTATTTTACTAGGAGTAATAAAACAGTGACTATAGATGACAAAAGATTTACAAATGACAATGGTTAAAGATCTGATGAGAGCTTACTGTAAGACAGTTGTCATAAGGAAATTTGGATATTCGTGTAACACAAAACATTCAGTAACAAAGTTTAGCATCATTCCCTGTGACAGTGCCTTCTAGGTAATTAAGCAGGTAAATAAGCCAAATTAGCCAAATATTTTCTCCAATGAGAAAAAATTCCTGTGACATGTTCCAGGGGCCCTCTGGAAAATATCAGAGTGAACAAGAGCACCTTTTTGAATTTGATTTTGGGAAGCTGTTAAAACTTTTAAGGCACTTGCTTAAGTAATTACATTAGACAAGCTACACTTCACTTTAAGCATTTTTTAAAAAGATTTAACTGATACTATCAACTTACTTTAGGTAAACTTAGGCAGCTGATAACCATAAGGACATGTCTATTCAGTTCAACTTAAATTAGCATTAATGCTTAATATCTTCTATTAGAATTTTCTGGAAATTTTAGAATGCCCAATTTTTACAAGCGCTTGTCTTTAAATCAATTTTTATTAATACCATCCAGAGGTATAAAAATATTTTTCATTTACACACTTAGACACAAACATACAGATTGAGACATAATGATACAGTGAGAGGACAGACAGAGCTCCTGGCATGAGCTGGGAGGGGACAAGAGAGCCCGTGGTGGTGCATTATCTAGGGGTTTTATAGGCAGTTGAGGATGTTTGGGAACTTGAAAAAAGCTTAGGGGTGTGGACTTTAAGGCAAGTACTAGGTGTTTAGGATTGCAGGGGAGACAGAGAGAGCTTGGTTCGGAGGTAGGAGAAAGCCTGGATATATGGGATCTCTTCCCATTTGCCCACATGCTCACAGAAGTTGTATAAGTCACAGAGAATTTCAGGATCAAAAGAGTCATTTGGGGTCCATTTAGACTGATTGTCCAAGGGATATTGTGCCCATATCTCATTACAGAAGCAAACAGGTTTGAGGTCTGGAGTTAGGTGGAGGGGCTTTAGATTATTGAGTAAGCACCCTAGCAGTGAATCTGTGGGAACGGAGGGGCCAGATCCCATGGTGAGAATGAGACCGTTCAGAAGTCACTGAGGCATCCCTGAGCAATTGAGAAGGTCGCGGAAAAGACCAGGAACAGTTAGGGGGTCCTCACCACCTCTAACTATGGGGTCGAGGTGAAAACACCGGGGAGGCTCGGTACCTGGTACCAGGATTTTTGGAGTCGAGTAGATACATAGATAAAGGGAGACCAGGCCTCAGTGGATGAGGGTTCTCACCATGGGGAGGCAGAGAAGGGTCAACTATGGGGATCAACCATGACTCTGAAAGTCGTGGTTGGGGGTGCCCCTGTCCCAGAGGAGCCCTTGGGGATGCCGGACACTCAACGGTCACTTCCCAGGTTCCAAAGGGACATTTAAGTTGACCATGAAGGGGAGACTCACCAAATCGAAGGCTGGTGTTGGGCAAGAAGACCAGCGACCGGGGAAATGGACGGTGAGCCGGTGGAGGAGGATCGGGCAGTGAGGGTTCCCAAAGCAGCTCAGGTTCCTGGAGGAAGAGCAAAGTCAATAGGAGAGCCTCATCCGAGTCATGGCACCAATGAAAGGGTATTTCGCCACGACCCTCCTTACCCAGAACAACTCAGGAGACACGGGCCCACGTAAGAGATTTTATTATCTAAAAGAGAGAGTGGCTGCCCCAGACAGGGGTGGGGGGGAGAGAGAGAGGGAGCAGCAGAGAGAGCAGTGGGACAGAGAGAGCAGAGAGGAAAGAGAGAGAGAGGGAGGGAGAGAGAGAGGGGGTGGGGGAGCAGGGGGACAGAGACAGAGACAAAGAGAGAGAGGGCAGCAGAGAGACAGAGACAGAGAGAGGGCAGCAGCGTGGTGCCTTTTATTGTGGCGGATCCGCTTGGCCTGTTGCCTTGGAGGAGGGTCGGGATATTTAGAGATAAGGCAGGGTAAGCCCAGTCAAGCCCCAGGCAAGCCCATGCATAATTCTCACCGGCTTATGTGCTTGGGACCATGGGGCAAATGGAGGATAAATTACTATATTCTTACACCCTTAAGAAGTGCCTAAGAATATAGACAAGCTAGGCGACCTCAAGGTGTGACTTCTCACCTCCCTGACCTCCCTGAGCCCCAACCTTCCTCAGGGTCAAAAGCAAATTTCCCGCAGCGTCCACCAGGAGGAGTCACACTCGGTAACATGCTGTGTGGACCATGGCTAACCTGGCCAGGTCCCTCCCTATCTGGGGGCCTGTGCTTCTCCATCTGGACAAACAAGGGTTCAAGGCTTAAGAACACCCAAGAATAAACACACCTACGGCCTCTGGGCAGGCAGGAAAAGTCGCCCAGCTCCGCGCAGCGGGTGACCTGCTCCTCTCAACCCCTGCAGCTCGAGACACTCCGTTAGGGTTTCCACGCAGCGCGGCCAGCCCACTGCGCCTGCGTGCAAGGCCTGCTGGGAAATGTAGTTCTCCCAGCCCTCCACCCCGCACACCGGGCGCCGGGTGACCTAACCGCAGGTTTGTATGTGGGGGTCCCTATTCGCGCTGATGAGCGCCTCCGTTGGCCTCTGGACTGTTTCCTTAGCCACAAAAAGGGGTTCATCATCACTGCCTGCCTCCGACGATTGAGGTCATTATTCCAAGAGATGGCAGATAGGAAGAAATAGGACAGGAAAATACTACAGCGAGAGCTGATTTATTTCGGCCCCCTGGGGTGGTTCCCTCACCACTCCTAGCCCCAGGATTTTGTTCATAATTTCTAAATATCTACAGACCTCATTTCTTTTGCATATGTGTACACACGCACACACACACACACACACACACACACACACACACACACACACATACATATTATACCTTATAAGTAGTATTTTAAAAAGTAACATTACCTGGATATTTGTTGCTTTGTACAGATGTAAAACTGTCTTTAATATTTATTTTTGGTCCAAATACATTCTGAATCTTTCTTTGTCAATGACTTATTTTATCTGTAGATTGAAGGATTTTTTTATGTAGATAATCAGATAATATGTTATCTTCCTTTCCAATCCTTATACTTCAAAAAAAAAAAAGTTTTCTTGGATTCACTGCATTGATTTGGAACTTCAGCACAGTATTGAATAGAAATGGTGAAGGTAGACACCTCTATCTTGTTATTGGTTTAAAGGGAGTGTATTAAATATAATGTTTGACCTAGCTTTTTTGTAGAGAAACTTTATCAGGTTAAGGATAGTGCTGTTTATATTAGTTTGTTGAAATATTTTTAAAAAACATCTAATTAGCTCATTAATTTTCTCATTCTTCTTTTTGAAATGTAAGTACTTAAGACAAATTTCCCATGTTCCATTTAACCTGCATCCCACAGGTTTTGGAAAACATTTGACCCTTGAGCAATGCAGGGGTTAGGGGTGCCGACTTCCCTACCCTGCACAGTTGGAAATCCTTATATAACTTTTGACTTCCCAAAAACTTAATTACAAATAGCCTATTGTTGACTGGAAGCCTTACTGATAACATAAACAGCCAATTAACAGATGTTTTGTAAGTTACATATATATATACCGTACCCTTAAAAACAAAATGTTTTTCAAATTGTTACAAATCTCCAAAATATTTTCTAATACATTTATTGAAAACATTCACATGGAAGTGAGTATGCATAGTTCAAGCCCATGTTGTTCAAGGTTCAACTGTAGAAATTTTGGAAAATAAAATATGCAGAAGCAAATAAAAATTATTGTATGTATTACATCTGTATATGTTAGAAACCCAATAATACATTGTTATAATTATTACTTTATATAACTGTATGTCTTTTAAGAAGTTTGGAGAAGAAAGGAGAGCAGGCATAACTATAGAGTTTGTTATATTAACTTTCTTATTTACCATTTCAGGTTCTCTAAATTTGTTCCTGTGCATTTGAGTTACTATCTAGTGCTTCCCCTACTCCAGTACAGCTTTGCTCCCACCCACCTCCTTCGTGCTGTAGTTGTCAAATTTGTTACATTTCTATATTTTATAAGCTGAGCAATGGAACTATATACATTTGCTTTTAAAATCAGTAAATGGCAGAAAGGAGAAGAAATATGCATTTGGACAGTCTTTTAGAATTATATAATTACTTTTATTGGTGCTCTTTTTTTTTTTCATGTGGATTTGAACTGCTGTCCAGGGTCACTTACTTTCAGTCTGGAAAATTTCCTTTCTGTTTCTTGTAGGCAGGTCTACAAGCAACAAGTTTTCTTAGCTTTTGTTTTTCTGGAAATGTCTTTATCTTGACTTTATTTTTGAATGACAGTTTTATTAGATGTAAAAATTTTTATTTAGTTTTTTTCCTTTTGGTACCTTGCATAAGTCATCCTCTGCCTCTCGGCCTCCATTGTTTCTGATAAGAAGTCAGGTGTTAATCTTATTGGGGTTCCCTTGCATGTACTAGTTTATTTATTTTTTTATCTTTTCAAGATTTTCTCTTTTTCTTTGTCTTTCAACAGATTTACTGTGATATTTCTGTTTGTAGATCTCATTAGGCTTATACTACTTGGAATTCATTAAGCTTTTTATGTGTGTACATTAATATTTTAAACAAATTTGAGAATTTTAAGCTATTATTTCTTTGAATAGTTTTTCTTATCCATTTTCTCACTCTTCTCACTTTTGTACTGCAATTGTGCACATACTTGTACCCTTAAGGGTGCCTCACATTTTCTAGGTCTCTGTTCATTTATTATTGAGGTATAATTGACATACAGCGTTATATTACTTTCCAGTGTACAATACAATAATTCAATATTTGTATATATTGCAAAATCACTATCACAAATAATCTACTTAACATCCATCACTGTACATACAGAATTTTTTTCTTGTGATGAGAACTTTTAAGATGTAGTCTTAGCAACAAATATGCAATATGGTATTATTAACTATAGTCATCATGCTATACATTACATCTGCAGAACTTATTTATTTTATAAATGGAAGTTTTTCCTTTTGATTCCCTTCACTCATTTTGCCCAACCCCTACCCCTAGCCTTTGCAACCACCAATTTATTCTCTGTATCTATGAATTTGGTCTTTTTAAAAATTCCACATATAAGTGAAATCATACAGTATTTTTGCTTTCTCTGTTTGACTAATTTCATTTAGCATAATGTCCTTGAGGTCCATCTGTGTTGTCACAAATTACAAGATTTCATTATTTTTTATGGCTGAATAATGTTTCTCATTGCTGTATATCTCATATTTTCTTTATCCGTTCATCTGTTGATGGACTGTTAGGTTGTTTCCATATCTTAGCTATTATAAATAATGCAGCAATGTACATGGGGTTGCATATATCTTTTTGTCTTCCCCATGACCCACACACATACCATGTGTACTAATCATAATACCCCTCAATCCCCTTCTCCCTTCCTCCCCACCCACCCTCCCCAATGCCTCCCCTTTGGTAACCGCTAGTCTCCTCTTGGAGTCTGTGAGTCTGCTGTTATTCTGTTTCTTCAGTTTTGCTTCATTGTTATACTCCACAAATGAGGGAAATCATGTGGCACTTGCTGCTACTAAGTTTTTAACTGCTATGTCCAATATCTGGGCCTTCTCAAAGGCATTCTGTTGTCTTTTGTCCCCCTGTGCATTGGTCACACTTTCCTCTTCTTTGTATTTATCATAATTTTTTTTGTTGAGAACCAGACATTTTAGGTGATATATTGTAGCAATTCTGGATACTAATTTCACCCTACCCATCCAGGACTTGTTGTTTGTTTATTTGTTTAGTGGACTTGGCTGGATCATTTTAAAGATGACTCTTTCCTCCACAGCATGCAGTCTCTGATGTCATTTAAGGGCATAGCCTTGGGAATGTGTATAATCACACTGAGATGATAGTGGCTTTAGCAGGGCTCTTTTTTACTGTTTCCCTGATCTCTTTATTAAGCTGTCTGCCTATGTTTATAGCACAAACTGCTTTTAGGCTTCACTAATTTGTGGCTGATTGCCTTATTGTTTTTGACAATTCCTGAGGGCATAAACTCTTCCAATCAATTAAATTCAGGCCTCTTTGAGGGGATGGGGTTTTTTTTTAGGAGAGCCAGGGAGAGGCTTTTATTTAGAGATTAAGTGAGAGGACAGAGCTCCTAGCTCATGCCAGGAGGGGACAAGAGAGTCCGTGGTTATGTCGTTGTCTAGTTTTGTTTTTTTTTTTGAGAGGGCATCTCTCATATTTATTGATCAAATGGTTGTTAACAACAATAAAATTTTGTATAGGGGGGTCAATGCTCAATGTACAATCATTAATCCATCTCAAGCCTAATTCTCGTCAGTCTCCAATCTTCTGAAGCATAACGAACAAGTTCTTACATGGTGAACGAATTCTTACATAGTGAATAAATTCTTACATGGTGAACAGTACAAGGGCATTCATCACAGAAACTTTCGGTTTTGATCATGCATTATGACCTATAAACAATCAGGTCAAATATGAATATTCATTTGATTTTTGTACTTGATTTATATGTTGATCCCACATTTCTCCTATTATTATTATTATTTTTATTTTTAATAAAATGCTGAAGTGGTAGGTAGATGCAAGATAAAGGTAGAAAACATAGTTTAGTGCTGTAAGAGGGCAAATGTAGATGATCAGGTGTGTGCCTATAGACTAAGTATTAATCCAAGCTAGACAAGGGCAACAAAACATCCACGGATGCAGAAGATTTCTCTCAAAACAGGGGGGGTGAGGTTCTAAGCCTCACCTCTGTTGATCCCCAATTTCTCACCTGATGGCCCCCCTGCGACTGTGCCTGCCTTGGGTTGTTCCTCCCTTGAGGAATCTTACCCGTCTCTGGCTAACCAGTCATCTTCTGGGGCCATACAGGGAAATGTAAAGTTGGTAAGTGAGAGAGAAGCAATATTGTTTGAAAAAGTTAGCTTTTTACTTCTTTGCAGATTTATGCCCTGTGGCTTCTATGCCCTGCATTTATTTGTCTTGAGGTATCTTTACCACTTGGAAGAATTATGATACTTGGTAATTTCAATATGAGGCACGAATTCTACTTAAGGGTTGTAATTAGGAAGGAAGAAGAAAAGCTATAGAAGTAGTAGATGGAAGAAAACATGGGAAGATTGATTATTTGACATATCTTCTTGTAGTGTAACATAAGCATGTATAGGTTTTAAACTACTAATTAAATTGCATGCAAACATTAACATAATAGGAATACAGCTACATAACCAAAGCAGGCGTACAATTACCAGCCATATCCAGTGAAACCAAAAAAACCAGTTAGGCACCCTAGGCATTTGTGAAAATTTATCAATGATTGATGGATATTGTCTAACTGAATTTGAATAGTTTGAGAAAAATCAGACAAATTAAAATGACACATTCCTGGGAACTGTTCACATCCCATATG